TTTATGATTTCCACATAAATATTGTGGGAATCATGAATTAATTTATCATTAGTCATTATCCTTTTGAAGGAAAGATCCTCCTTTGCAGATCAGTTTCTTTAAAATGTAATGCTTAATTTTTGCTGCACCACAGAAACAAACCAGGCCTGATGGTTTGTCCTTCACTTCCATCTCAGTGATATTCAGCTCAGTCCTTTCTGCAGGTATCTCCAACCTCTGCAACGTTTAACCTCATTTTTAATCAAAATAGCCTCACTAAAGGTTAAATATTTTCAGTTTAATAGGAACATTAACTCTCAGTAGTCTCAGCATCAGTCCTGATTCTTCCTCATATCAGCCCCAGATCTTTAGAGAAGTACGGGTCGAGCTCACAGAGGAACCGGATCATCTGTGAACTTGCATCGTCACCTTTGTTCCCCACCATTTGAACTAGAACTCGAGCTTTGTCTTCTCTGGTCTTCTCACCATTTACTGCTTCCCTCTCAGAAGCATTTAAGATAGTTTCCATCAGCAGTTTGTCAACCAGACCTTTCAGAACAGGTTCTGATATCCGATCAGTGAGGTTTACACTTATCTCCTTCAGTTGGTCCTTTGGACTGAGGTTCTGTCGGGTCGGTCCACAAGATCTTCTGACTCCAGCAGCAGAAAGACAAACGCGTGTTTTCCAGAAGATATTGGAGCTGTTGTCCGTCAGAGACAGACTGATGAGTTTCATCATTTTCTCAAAGGAAACACAGAACTTTGACAGGTAATTTTCATAGGATTCTGCATCAAATTCTGCTTCTTCGGGCTGAACCAGAACCGAGTCTTCTTCAGGAGAGACAGACAGAGAATAAAATTGATTTGGCTGCAGTTTGCAGTCTGGAGGCCTCTCCAGGAAAATCTCATTATCGTCTAACAGCTTCCTAAAATGCAGTACCGTTCTGAGAACAACGTTCTTTGGCAGCATCAACACATTAATCTGGTGTTTTGACTCAGACTCAGCTGGAGGTTTGTAGAACAGCAGAACCAAGGCTCGGACCGGGTCAGGAGGAGAATCTTCATCCTTGACGTTCCCAAAAGCAGAAAACCCTGTGATGCTGATGACGATGTGAGTCTCTGTGATCCTCTCAGGCCTGATAAACTCCACGCCTTCATCATGGAGGTGAGCGACTGACAGGAAGTGACATCGTCCTGTGGAGCGGACCTCACAGTGAGGCAGATGAAGCCGAGCCACAGACCGCTGCTGGCAGCTGATGTCAAACAGAGGTCCTGCAGGCTTCTTGCCATGTGGGCTCAGTAAGCTCCTGTTCCAGGGAACCACCCTGTAAAACACGTCTCCTCCTCCCGTCATGTCAAACACCAGGCCGCTCACTCTGCACTGGTACCGGCCTGGACCGGAGCACTGGAACCAGCAGGTTTCATCATCTGGATCCCCACAGAAACCAGGAGTGAACTCCTCAGAGCTGCTTTGGAGCTTCATGGTGGGTAAACTAGCAGCTCTGGGTAAGATACTGACGTCTAACGGAGGATCCTGACTGCATGATGGACAGCTCTGAGACAAACAGGAGGAGGATTTTATCCTCTCATTTGTCTCGAGGTTTTGTGGCTGTTCATGGAGGTCGGCCGTCTGGGTTTCAGCAGGTTTGATGTTTTCTGATCTGATCAGAGGTTCAGTTTCATCAGGGAGAGTTTGATCAGCAGCTGGTTCGATCTCCACAACTTCACTGGTTCTGCTGCTGCTCTCAGGAAATGGATCCATTTGCCAGTCAGAGTCAAATAGCAAACAACGAAAACCTCTGGGCTCATAGTTTTGACAAGATCCAAGTTCACACAGAAGTTCTGGACTTTCCTGATCCAGTCCAGAACTGGATCTCATTTTCATCCGACCTCTTCCATATGTTGATGGTTCAGGATCATCTACATCAGAAATCCAGTTTATTTTTGGCTTTGACTTTCTAACCAAAGTACTTTGAGGAATTGGGTAATAATGTGTCTCAGGAACATCATAATATGTTTCAGTCATCCTGTCTGGTTCTGTTGTCGTTTTGCAGCAACAGAACCAGGAGAACCTTTTTCCACGTTTGTATTTCCTTTTAGGCATTTCTGTTTCCTTTGAAAGTCCAATAAGTGAATCCAGATGAATATGAATTTCTTCTTTGAATTATTTTAAAAATGATTCATTCATCTTCTTTCAGGCTCCTCTGTTAATGGACCTGGGAAAAGAAAAGAGAGAGAAACATAAATCATCTTTGTCCAAATGAATATTTTCATCGTGTCATTTCCACATCCAGATGGTAAGAAGACGAAATATAAGAAAATAAAATCTAATTTTAAGTTTAATGTGTGAATTATTGCTTATTTATGAAGAACAGATTTGGAAATCCTGCATCTCTGTCCAAATGTGTCCACCCGTCCTCTCTGGGACTTTGATATGATGAGACACAAACTGAAAATGTTCTCCAGGAATCAAAAACATTTGATGTTTTACATCTTATTACAGAATCTGGACCACATTTAACATCTCGAGTTCAAAACTTCTAACATCAAGAAT